TTTCAGTGTTTAATAGAGGATATTGTTTTGTATAAGTAAAGTCAAATGCTTTGTCAGAGAAGACAAAATTGTGATGCATGCCACAAAGTTTAATGATGCCGGATCCGGACAAGGAACCAGACATCGTAAAAAACACCAGCAACAAACGTGAAGTAAAATTAAGTAACACAAACCACACAACAAAAACAATACCGTTGTATTTAAAGTGACAACGGAACAATAAATCATTTAAAAATCCATTAGCACATCGCTTCTCGACTTCATTTAAAAACGTTCACAAAAGAGGCAATAGAACATAAGCGCCTGCAGCAACTTTACGATGCTATCCAAACACACAAATAAAAGACACACTTACAATACAATAAAATGTTATCATCAAAGGGTGAACATCAGACTGCAGCCAATTCGTATTCCTGGTGCACATTCATTTTACCGAGCGAAACAACTGACGGGACGGCAGTGTAAAAATAAACCGCCGGTGGCACAACAGATATGCATGCAGTTTTCTACTATAAACGTACAGGCGATAGCATTACTTAACCTCTCGTCAGTCCAAAACCTTCTAAAGGTTGCTGTCAAAAAGTACGCATCTGTCCACAACCATCAGAAGGTTGCTGGTTACTTATAAACTTCAGATTCGAAACAGCCCTAGTAAAAGTATACGTATCTCCCTATAACTGGTACAACATGCAGAGAATTAAACAAAGACGGCAATTAATATCACACACGCTTCATAAACCAACCATAGAAGCTGTGAAATAGTAATACATTTATTCCGTTCAGTTGCTCGTTCTGTGACGCGGTGTCGTGTGTTTACGTGCAAAGTATTAATTGTTGAAAGTGATTTCGGAAGTCAATATTAAAGATAAACATGAATGGGTAAGTCATAAATACTTTTCTATTAATATAGAATATATTAGATGACGATTTGTACATAAATTGTTCCATTTTATCAAACATTGCTTGCCATTTCGACCGCCATGTTGAAACCATGATCGTATTAACTTCAATTCTTTTAAATTAAAAGTACAATTGTGAATGGTAAACATTGTCTTAATATCGTTAACATACTTATTTACAAACATAACAATAATTACAATTGTATAGTTTCGATTAAATATTTCATAAAACTAAAAATAACAAATTGCTTAAATCTCTCGTCCACCTGGCGGTTGTGGACAGACATGGGTCGTAAAGTTATTCACATGAAATCCGCCATCTTAGAGAGCAGGTTGTATAGTATGGATACGACTTTGGGAATGCTAGTGTTGGTATATTTTTTACGATAATTTTTGGTGTGGATTTTTATTTGTTTCGTTTTATTTTTTTGTCAATAAATTGTTTTACTTTTTGTATGTGCATGTCATTATATTTTTTTGCACTTGATTGACAAGTGAAACACTCTTTGTTTTCACTCTTAGCCCAAGGTTATCTGGAAGAGATTGCTTTTTGTACGTAGTAGTTTTTATTGCTAAGCAATAATCCTTAGCTCGTTGCGGTGCTATAGTTGGAATAGCCTCAACGTACGAAACGGTCACCTATCCAGTTGCAAGCTAACGCGTGCATTGCTTAAACTTTATTATGGATCTCGCACGCAAGCTATCACTAGGCTAGGGTCACTTCAAATTAAGTAAAATTAAAAAAAAATCTAAATAACAAAAATATAAATCTTTATTTTGGCAAAAAGAATTGTCAAACATTTTTTATAATAACATTCAAATATTAATTAAAAATATAAAAAGCAAAGAAAAGTAACTAATTTGTATTTCATTTTAATTTTATGTTCATGATTACAATTATTAAAGAAGTCACCACAGAAAGTATCCATACTAGCATAGCTGGGTACTACGTCATACTTGGTGCTTTTTGTAGTGAATGTGTAACTTTTAGTTGATGATTTCTAACATAATTTTGTATAAAAGATGCCTTCTTTGTTTTGTTTTTAACTTAGGAAATGTTATTATATTTAGGAATGTACATTCACATGTAAATAAATTACAAAATTGTTCGTTACAAACGCAAAAGTTTGAAAGCATTTTTTTAGGGTCACTTTTTCAAGTGTTTGTTACAACTCGTTCATTTCTTAATAATTGAATAGTTGTAATATTTGAAACTGTTTATATTAAGAACAAAGACCAAACTATAGCATAAGTTAAGATTTATAGCCCATTGTGCCTCAGGTGTCGTCGATATTGAAGTACAAAATGTGCCTTTTTTTTGTGCCTGTTTCGGGTCATCTTAAGTGGCCCACATTATTGTAGAGCTTGTGGTGTGAAAAAACTGTACGTAGAGTTGTGTTTTTTTTATTCATTATTGTAAAGTGTGTTATCGTATAGTAAATGAAGTAAATATTTATTGAAATAATTGCTTAATTTTTTAATGATTACATTTTATATTCAACAAACTAGAAAAAAATCGCTTCTAGCAAATTTACCACCAAATTTATAACATACCAAAAGGATGAACGTACACATTTACACATATTCTATTAGCTTATTTA